TACTCCATATGTTTTAAATGATTTTATAAAAACGTGTGTTGGTGCTTGTAGTCAGCATTGACTCATCTTACTGATAAAAGGGAGGGGGGGGTATCATATTCAGCAGACATCCTATGTTGTCCATGGATCTCTCCTACCCATTAGGGAGGTCAGATCCATAACATTTACTGTACATGGAGTGTAATGGTAGGCTGTTCAAGTGTTTTCTTCTTTACTGCTCATCTCTCTGTGCATTGAGAAAATGCTCGTCTGCTTGCGTGAAGGACGATAGTGCTGAAAGAGTTGGAGCCATTTTGCAAAAAAAAAAAAAGAACAAAGAGGAAATGTCGTCGGTGTCAAGTGCAAAGCTGATATGTACTCCAGAATGTGATTTCTTGCGGAATATATTCCATTCAGTCTTGTAAGATTTTCAGGTTTCATTCAGTATTATCAAATGTTCACACTTATTTAATATTTATAATTCTATAACAATGAGCTTAAAGATGCAAAAACACTCGATTGTTGTTGATTAAAAATACTCTGTGGGTTCGTCACTGCTAACAAACCCTCAAATTATACTACGTTTCCATTATTAATACAGAAGTATTTATTAGAGCAGCTTTTAGGGAACTTTTGACACGCACAACTAAGATGTGAATGAGTTATGTTTCCATTTGTGGATGTGGAGGCTTTTCTGACTGTAAAATGTATGACAGCTATATCAGAGAGCACATTAACGAAAATGGAATGAGCCTTTACGTTGCTGCATTAATATTTCATCATATGTGCTCTTTTACAATTTTCAACACAAAATCTCTCCTGCCTCAAGGAACTCCAAAATGTTTGTGAGGGAATTAACATTTACAATCTGCAATATAATTTCATGCATCATACTGTAAAAAATAGCTTGGATGGAACCACTGCTTCTAAAAATGACTAATAGCTGATTATACTAATGCACAAATGTGTATGTTAGGTCTGTACACCAACATAACCTCATCTTGCTCCTTTTTAAAGTGTTTGCGCTTCCTTCTAGAACATAGTATGTCTGCTGCTACAGTAATAGGCATGTTAATAATTAGCAGTTAACTGACAATAATAATTTGGATCAGTTAAATAGTTCAAAATAATATTTAAAGGATTTTTAAGCATTTTTTTGAGCAAAACTGAGGAGTGGCTTGGCACCAGAATGAGAATCGCTGCTCCACCTTAACGGTCAGCCCACCTTAAGTGAGCCTGGGACCAAGTTGTGGCTTACTTCGTACACCCTTACACCCTTCACTTATATCATCGCTATACACACACACAATGGACTTGCAGTACACTGGTGGAAACCTTGACATGACTGGGAAAATGGCTGCATGTATCCACAATGTCGTGGCTGCTAACTCTCCATGACGGTTAAACTGGGGACTCGGTAGCCTGCTGAAGCTGGTGGTAAATCATGGATTTAACCTGCCAGGGTTAGGGTTGTGCATCGGTTATCATTGAAGCTTGGCGGCTTGTTAGGCTCTTCAACCACAGCAGCCCTGCATGAAAGGTACTAATCTAGTCAGTTGTGATTGGTTAACGAGGATCGGCTATCGGTCAGGCAAATAAATTCAGAATTAGCATCCCCTAACTGCCAGGCAATTCAAAAATATATATCCAGATGCCTGGACACAGATGGAGAGAAGAGATACAGAGAGGAGCTCAGTAAAAACACATCCACACGTTGCACTAAAAACATACCAGACTACAGCTATAAAAACAACAACTTTCAAGATGTTGTTCAGAGTGACATGGGGTTTGTTTTTCATGTAAGACACATCAGGGTGGGGCACACATCGCTACATTTTTTGATGCCGGGAATTCCTAGCAGCACCCCTGTGTACATACCTGTCTTTCACAAACTCTGATCTTTTGGCCCTTACGTTTCCTTTATTTTATGCTTTTTAGATAAAACGTTTGAAAAAAAAAGAAAGAAAAGAAGAGCGACTTGTCGACTGACAGCAGTAAAATCAAATCGGAATATTAACTGACACTTTGTTCAGTCTTTCACGCGGCTCCAGCGAGAGAGAGAAGTCCCAGACAGACAGATGTTGATGGGCTGCAGACATCTCGGGTGAATGGATGTGTTTGATGTAACCCCTGACAGCTGCGTTCTACACAGACAGCAGAAAAGGTGGAGGACTTTTTGGGGAGAAATACAGGGGCATGCTTAAGCATGTGTGAACAGTTGCATTGGTATTCACACGTGGGGTCAGAGGACGGTTTTGATAAGGATTCTGTTATCCAAAAACAGGGAAGCAACCGAGTTAATTTGAAGAGCTGGGTTTACAGGGGGACTAAAGGTAAACATGTTTTTTTATGTCACAGACTTTAGATTACAGCACCGCTGCTCTCAGCTTGTGGTTAAAATGGAAATACCTGCAAGGTGTTTCATTGTTTTTTTCTTCCAAGAATTGATGTGTAGCTATGTGTACTTGCATCAAAACATGCCGCATATATGCATAGAGATATAAAATGAAAATATCAAGCACAGTGAAACAAAAACATGGTTGAAGGACTGTGCAGAGAAAGGCTCCATCTGTCCCCGTTGCATAGTGAATGGGGGAGGAGGCTCAGCTGAATGAAGGCCGCTATTAAAATCTCTTGTAAACACATTATTGGCCCGGTCTTGTCCAATATATAGAATGAGACATAACGGTGATTTAGAGGCTGAGCCGCATCCGTAAATGCATGAAGCCAATCTCATGTCAGCGTCTGCTGGCACCTTTCTGTGCATCCTGATGTAGAGTAGTTACATGGAAGAAGAAAAAAAGGGATGGAGAGGATGGGACAAGTAAATATATTAACTACAAAGACAAAAATGTATGGCTTGAGGCCAACTGTCAGAACAAAAGAAAAACAGAGTTCCGTGGCATTAAGCATGCATTTTTGTTCATGATTGGACCAATACCGGCAAAATGCATGCATTATTCGGATGAATTTTAATCTGGATTTAAAGTAAAATGTTACAACATCTGCAGCAAAGACGTAGTTAAAACTAAGCTGTGTCAGATAGGTTATGTATCTTGTATCAGGATTATAACTATTTCTCTATGCAGATTTTTACCCAAAAAATATTGTTTTTGTCCCCAATTTTCATTTGGATTTTGTGTCCAGTAGCCTCTAAGTTTCCAGTTGCTGGATGATACTCATACTTTTAGCTAAAGCTCCAAATGTCCCTTTGTTTAAATACAGGTAGAAGTGGATTTGGATGAAAACACAAATGAGCTCCTGATCATTTGACAGTGTCTCTAAGTACATAACTTCAAAAAAAAAAAAAAAAAAATGGCTCAATTAAACATTAATGCTCCAAAATGGTACTTTAAAAAGCAGGATTTTCTGGATTATTGTGTTACTGGATATTGAAATAAGGCTCCTCAGAGAAAGATGGTGATGTGATGGGAAAGCTGAGAGGTTCCTTTTTAATTCATTATTTTTACCTTTCATTGCAATCAATTATGCAACTCTTATTTTTTTTTTTTATGAGCAACAAAAATAATATCAGTTACTCTCTCACACAAGTGCTCAGTGAAATCCAAATAATATTGAGAACCTGCGTTTCAACCCCCCTGTGAGTGATCAATGAAGCTGACTGGGTCTGAGAGAGAGAAGGATTCACTTGTCATCATCCAGATCATTCCATTGGAAAAAACTGAGACATGCAGAAACAGGTGTTAATTAAGAGTTACGCATTTCACATTAGTATGAAACTGGTGTCTTACAAGTTCTCCTCAGAATAGCAAGCAGATAATAGCTGATGTTTTAGCCCGTATTTGTTATTCATTCCTCAGGGTTTGTAAATAAATCAGTGTTTTGACCATTACTCAAGGATGTGACTTTATTTATTGCTCTACGTGTCTGACTATTGAGTCTATTAAAGGAACAGAATAACATGAAAGTGATGTTAATGAAAATGAAGTATTTATAGTACAGAATATAGAGGTTGGTTGATTTGCATTAAAGTCCAGACTCTGTGTGTGTGTGTGGGTGTGTGTGTGTGTGTGTGTTTTAGTGTGTGTGCGTGCAGACAGTCTGCCCACATTAATAAGATATTTGAGGTAAGATCTGGAAATTCATGGCAGCATCTCAGGATAGAAATATTTTATCGGGTTTGTAGTTTATTATATCTCATCCTCCGGCTGCCGGTGATGTTTTTACTTGTTTCGGACATTACTGGGAGGGGAAGATCAACTCTGTCTAATGTCTTTTAATAAGATATGTTCACAGCATTTCAGACGTTATCAGTCTCTGTTTTTAAATTTTTTAACATCTTGAAAGATAATAGGGAGCAAAGGTCATTGTGAAATATGTTTTGTTATATGTGTAATGCAGACATCTACTTGACAATTCTTTTGGCTCAGTTATGAGTCTTTATGCTTGCAGGCATTATGTTTTCTAGCTGTCTGTGCATCCCATTCTCATGAAAGCGATATCTCAGAAACACCTCAAACTAATTTCTTCAAAGTGTCTTCAAAATCTGTATCCCGTTAACACAACTTTAAAGGAATACTTCTCCCACAAAATGACCATTTGTTTATCAGTTGCTCACCCCGTGTTACCTTGTTCCTACGGTGAAGGAAGAATTAGAAAAGCTGAGAAAGGTCTTGATGAATTGGGGTAAATGGGAAGAATGTTTGGCAACTACAAATCTATATCAAACCATCCGTTTACAAACTCTCACACAGCTCGTGCAGTATAATCCAAGTCTTATTTGGATGTTATTTATTCAGTCGTATGCTCACTACTTCCCAAACGCGGCCCCCATTTACCTCAATTCATCAAGACCATTAGTTCATTATTATTCTCCGTGGAGAACTGCAAGAAAAACAGTTTTCTTCGATACGAATACAAAGTAACACGGGGTGAGTAATCAATAAACAAATGGTCATTTTGTGGATGAAGTATTTCTTGTAAGATGCATATTGCTGTGTGTGACCACACATGATTGTACCCCGCTGTTTTGTAACGTGGTACTTGTTGTCATGTTTTAGGGCTCAGCGCTCTGCCCTTTGACCCAACGGCCAGCAATGACGCTCTCCACTTCAACAGCTCCAACGGGCCGCTGGTGACAGAGTGTGCCTCGGTGGAAAACACTGCTGGAAACAACTGCAAGAAGAGGAAAAGAACCAGTCTGCCTCCAGGTACTGACGATACTACCTCACTACAGTAACGGCGTGACACAAAAGAATATAGAAACCCCGTCCTCTCTGGTTTCTCGGTAAAGCCCCAATACTATTATGTGTTGTGCTGCACAGCCACTGCCTTGAATTACAGTGGCTCACTATGTCTGGTTGGATGTTTCCTGATGGAATGTAATTTAAATGCTACCAGCATCAAATAACTGCTGGTGAGAGATAAACTCTAATCCTGTTATTTTGAGACGGTCTGAAAGAGGTAGCCTTGTTTGGTCTTTGCTGTTTTTGATTAGCTTGCTGTAGCCCTCGGCTCTGCTCGTCTGGACTGTTTGGAGGTCACACGGCTAAAACCAGGAGGCGGCACTATGGAGATCTCTCATCCGCCTGCCTCTCACCATGCCAACAGACCCGCCAATCAAAAGCTCCCAAGCCTTCAGCTCTCTGACCCGTTAGACACCAAATACTGTGGCGATGTCCTTGTGTGCAAATACATGCACTGTAGTTTCTGCCTGTGTGCGCGTGTTTCACCCAATGAGCCTAATTTTCATCAGGGCCAGTGTGCTGTCTAATTAACGAAGGGCTTTCTAATTAATTGCATTATGAGCGGTAGAAAGAAGAGGGCCCTTAAGACGTAGAGGTGTTTCTCCATGTTTTCATCCGTCGGGGTGACGCTAATTGGTCTGGATTTAAAATCTGGCAGAGATGCACAGGGGCTCCAAATGAACTAATATCAGTACTTGCAGGGCACAGCTTACTCACTGGTGGTGCTCATAGTCAAACATGGCCTGTGGAACCTCACACTAGCTGGCTAAATGCCTTATTTTTCTCCTGCCAAAGACAGTCGGCAACAATTCCATCAAAGATTTGCGTCCTTTGTGCTATTATAGATACAATCCCCAGAGGTAGAGATAAGGTGGGGAGAATCTGCACATGACCCATCTTTCTTTCAGTCTCACCACTGGCTAGTGTTACCAATTATGTAAGGAAGATAATGCTTCTCCCCCAGTCAACAGCAGTGTTGACCTTGCAGGTACTATCTCCTTAAATCTTGAACAAACAAAGCCCAACTATTTCAAGCTGCTGAGATTGCTTTTTAATTCGAAAATATATCTTGTTTCTCCATAATGACGATAAAGAGCTAATGAATATAATATTCATTATGTATTGCAACACTGTCAAGGGTGTACCGTGCCCCAGGCTTATTGCATGCTGGGATTTGCAGAAGCCCTCTTGGACCCACTAGTAGTAATCTCTTTTGAATCAAAGATGAACGGATGAATTAAGGGACTTTTCACGTTACTAATTAGGGTTAGGTATTGTGAATATATCCTCTGTATTATCACACTGTATGTTGATACAAGTAATATAATAATAAATTGATGAGGAATTGTCTAATACATCCAAAGAAGAATGTCTATTAGGCTAATCCAGCAAATGTCCTACCTAACATGTCAAATCAAGTACATTTTATCCACACACATATATATGACCTCGCTATGAGTGAAATATATAGAAATGAGGCTTTGCCCGGCAAGTCTGCAGCTCCTCTGTCTTTTACCATTCTATCCTGTAGGACTTCGATCGGTTGTCTCTCCAATTAGCGGCAGTTTCCTTCCTTCCAGGTGCTGCTATTTTCTATTTGTCATACTCTGATAAAACAACCACGGGTGCCTTCAGATGAGTAAACTCTGCTTCTTCTTAGTTTTTACCATTTTTGTTTAGTGATTTAAATGTCCTCTCTTTCCCACATTCTGTCCCTGCATTGTTTAGAAATATGAATTTGGAGGGGACACCTGGTGCCACAGATCCATTGAAAATAACAGAAGAAAAGAAAAGGTGCAGCAGGTGCATTTTTTAAAAGCGACCTCTGTGACAAGAGCCCCAGAGTTGCAGTACAGTATGACTCACCACCATTTGTGTATAAAGGAAAACAGATGAGCTTAGCATGGTTTTCACAATTTCTCATTTACTTTTTATAGACACTATTTTTTATTTATTTGTCAACCACAGAGTCCTTTGAAAGAGTTCACTGAAGCACTTTCGCTGTACTGACGTTTCTCTAAACCACAAACCGACAGCTGGAAATAAATGAACTTAATTTTGTATAAAGTCAATGAAAAGATGGAAGAGTGTGTGAGTGTGTGAGTGTGTGTGTGTGTGTGTGTGTGTGTGTGTGTGTGTGTGTGTGTGTGGTCTGCTCGGATTAAAGCCTGTCAGAAAGCCTTACGATCAAAGCCTTTGTGAAGCTCAAATCTGATCTTCCACTGGAAAAGCCACCCATTTCTTTTCACGTCCATCTTAGAGATACAGTAGAGAACAAAGTCACTCATCCATTATTTTTCTCTCTGTCAGTCTGAGTTTTTTTTAACACTCGTACAATAAAGGTGCCATTAAAGCAGGATAAGTGCACTACGATCATGATGACACCTCTCGCTGCAGTTCCTCTGCATTTCCTCACAGCTTCCAGGGAAACCAACAGGAAACCTTCAAGGAAAGACATTTCCAACATTGTCAAAGAAATAGATTGCATGTTCGTTTAATGTAGTTCGTTCTTGTAGGCAAGCTTGCAGCAGGGCTTGTTTTATCTTATCATAGAGTATCCTTTTACTAGGGCTTTCTTATGGCTACCTTGTCACTAAAGCAGCTTTTAAATTCCCAAAAATGTAATAGTTTATGGTGTTTTTACTGCCTGATTCTGCATTTCTCTTTTTCCTTTTGCTTGATTTTCAATTTGGAGGTTCAATACATAGCATCAGTTCTTTGTGTGACAGTGATAAAGGTATATCTTTGCTGTATATCATACTTCCACGGATGAAAACAAGGCTTTGGAACAAATAATATAAATTGAGGATTTTTATTGTTTGAATAACTCCAGTTTCTTGAGTAAATGTTTCAGCCGTATATGCTGTTCCATTAGCCGCATGTTGTTGCACAGCATGTAGCAGCTGTGTAGAGTGCACATGTTTAACACAGAAGTAGCAGGAAAGCTAATAATAGCCTTGTAACAAATCCTCAAGAGCATTGTTCCATCAAGCTAACGAGTATGGCCCAGTAATAGCAGATCAATGATTACAGATGATTAGTGTTTCCCTGCGCCGGCTATGACTCCACTGTCGAGCAGTTGTAGCTGCTTGCTAACTTGGAAGTCCCTCCCTGAAGTACCGGTAGCTAAATGATGGAGGTCTGCAACAGCTGGAGCTTTGGATTTACTGGCTTAGAGGGTGTGATTCTGTCTGCCTCCGGGTCGTCTCCGGCTCCAGTCAGGTCCTCCGGTCCTCCGAGGGACGACTGATGGAGCACCGACTCATTAGCAGCCATGTGGATTTAGTCGCGTTAAGGGACCCACATGGATAGATGTATCTCATTACATTTGGCACTTCATTAGACACACATACTGTGGGGCAAAGACATGTGGTCCTGTGGAAACATGGACGCAACACACACACACACCACATGATGCACTTGTATTTTTCACAAACTGCCATTCATTAAGCCTGTGTAATAACCCAGACCAATGTACTCCGAGACTCTATTTATGATCTAACACAGTGAGACAAACATCAGGACGTCCTGTTAGGAAAAAGTAATGCAGACGTGTAGTTTATACCTTATCTAGCATGACAGGGAGGGGGTTCGGTTATCATTTGAGCTAAATGCTAACGCCAAGATGCTAATGCTCCAAATGACATGCTGATTTTTAGCAGGTAGTATGTTTACTGTGTTCATCATATTTACCTTCTTATCTCATTATGTAAGCATGATAATATTAGCTAATTAGCAAAAAAAACAGTAACATTGAAGATGATGGGAAAGGCATTAGTTTTGCAGGTATTTTTTCATAAACCAAAGTATTGGTGTAGTATTAATGATGGCAGGGCTTAACACCAGTAGGTGTTGACTAATGAGATCATATGTAGCTCAATGGAGACAAAGTTGTTCAAAGCTCTGTAGGTGGACACCAATACATCCCAAACACACAACACCAATTATTATTATTATATTTCAGTGTGAGTCAGACAATATTTTGAATTATGAATATGTATTAGCTGGAAAGTGACGAATGAAGTGTCCTGTGCATTTTAATAGAAAAGCTTTTCAGTTGCACACACTTTGTGGTTCATTTAGATAGAAGTTTCACACTTTTCATTACTCACTCTTGCTCTTTACCTCACCAGCAACTCTTTTCAAACAATGCGTAGCAAAGACTGCCTCGGGGCCTCCTGATATGTGGCACCCCAAAGAGTGCAAACTGCTGGAGTTGACTTGTTTTTTTCATGGGTATCAGCATTTCACAGCAGTCCAGGATCATCCTCTCTTTGCAGTTCTGTTGTGATAAAACTCGTTGACTGGATGAATAGAAGTTACATGTGATGTGCTCTGGGTTAGCTTCACAAATCAGCAGCTGTTTTACTGCACCAGAAGGAGTACACACTCCAGGACTGTGCTTTTAATTTGAAAATGCTACTTGAGAGAAAACTTAGGCTCATTATAAAGGGGGCTTGTCAACAAAGACAGTTTCACCATGTCTGTTTCCATGATAGTATTACACTGGAGCACATTTCAAACAGAGAAGAGCTGCTATATTTAAACCACAATTGAGGCTATTACCGCAGTTTATTCAGCCTGAGATGATTAACCAAAACATTCTACTTTCAGCATTGTAAATATGTTGAAAAATTAAAATATTGTCATAATGCAGTCTCAAGTATATTAGCCTTTGTAAGGCTGACCTCCTTCACCAGCTTTTTTTTACATGTCAGTACATGTACGTTTTCCAGCACTGACCATTAGCAGTAAAACGAAGCACATTTTGCGTAACGTTTACCCAAGGTGTCTCTTCATACAGCACCTGCACATTTCTATTCCCATTTTGCAGATAGCATGTTTTCACTTGAGACATAGCATGCAATTATCTGTGTCAAACCATTAAATGCTCATTCCTGTGTTTTGTGAAAGTCAGAATTGTCATTATTTTTCAAAATGCACTGAGAGAAAAGCGGTGGATT